TTAGGCTATTATCCTCTGCCTCTGCTAATAACATTCTTAAAGAGTTATAATACCCTTTTTACTATTTGCCTTTACGTTCCTAAAGAAAGTATCCTTAAAGCACACCTTACAGCTCTATATTTGTCATGTTGATAGCCACCACTGTTTCTGCCCTCTGCCTCCTTAGTTTTTGTCTTCTGAGATGTGTTACAATTAGTTTTGTTCACTAGTTTACTTCTCTAGCGTCATTATACGTTATCTTGTTCTTTCACTTTCTGCAGCAGGTTCTGCGTCACTTGTGCCATGTTCACCTCTTTGAGTAAACACTGTAAGAGGATATAGGATAGTGATATCTTTTTGTTTCTTGTGTATTTGCGTTATAGTCACTTATTTAACCACACGCCCGAGTAGGAGTGTCGAAACCTACAGCTAATACGGCCGCGGGTTGAGCATGTGAGTAGCAGGCGCAGGTGCACTACTAGCCTGTGTGGCTAGCGCTGGGAAATTAGCTGTACATGTACAGCCAACTTCCTAAAGCGGCCTAGCGCCATGTTGATAGGCTTGTTGATCTAGATCGATAAAGACTAGCTCCACGCTTATTGCCCCTGATTAATAAGCTCACCCTTGTACTTAAAAAGGGCAGTACTATCAGATCTAGATAGATTTAGACAGGCAAGAACAGGACCACAACAGGTGAATAGTATCCTCCTGCAAGGCGGTATTACAACATATTTGGCTGTACATGTACAGCCAAATAGTGCAGACTAATAGTCTGCTGATCGGCATGCATTCTTAACACAAAAGACTTTTTTAAGGTCTCTCTTATTACTTTTTAAGTTAATTAGACTTAAACAAGCCACAGACACTTTGTTAGCAAGAGTAACTCTATCACTAAGCGTCCAAAGATCCTAATTAGACGGGACTAAAGCTTTTCGTAGCTCACAAGCAGATAGGCGGTACTAGAGTTAGTGAACAGCTCTTGTTCCAGGCAAGAGGCGGTTAGCAGTTAGCCGAAGGAAGATAGAGCCATAATGGCTTAACCTATTCTGCCGTACGTATAGCCAGGCTTATAACCTGTTGAAGTACCGCCTTGCAGGAGGATACTGTTCACCTGTTGTGGTCCTGTCCTTGCCCATCTAATTCTATCTAGATCTATCCAGTAATGGCCTAATAGGGATTTCCTGTGCTAAGGCACAGGAAATTAGGGCACGTGACTACTAATATAGCGCTAGGCCGCTTTAGGAATTTGGCTGTACATGTACAGCCAAATTCCTGCAGGCTAGTAGTATACCTGCGCCTACTACTCGCATGCTCAACCCACGACTGTATTAGTCGTAGGTTTCAACATATTTTTTTTAATTTAAAATTTAAAATTTTAAAAAAGATAAAATAATTAATATATCTTTTTAATAATATAAAGAAATAAGCTATAGTTATTAGTATAGTTTTTTTATGTCTTATTAACTTTATTAATTTTGTTAACTTTAAAAAACTTTTTTTAGAAAATCTCTTAAAGTCTTAAGATATTAGATTTTTTTTAACTCTCAAAATCATCTTCTATACTCTTATTAACTGTATAAAGGCTAACAAGAAATCTCTATTTATATTATTAAGACGCTATAAAGCTCTCTTAGTGTTCAAACGCTTCTCGCAATTTAACATTATGATTTTTTATTTCAAAATTTCTGCAACAAGGTCACAAGAAAATCAATTTTATTATCAGGGCAATTTTGGGCATTCTACTACGATAATTAGGTGGTAAATGGCCATCCTCTGCCCACACCGCAATTTTGCCCCGCGGCGCCAGCATCGAGGGTCCCGCCAAGGAATTCGCAACAATTATGCAATGCATACTGTGCATTACGAAAGTGTTGCAATTCCTTGGCGTTACCCTCGCATTACTAGAGCATACTTTCTATAACTACTAGTATGCAGTGGCTCTTCATCTTAGTTATTCTATGCTTCAATACACCCGTAAATGCGATGGCAGAACCTGGCCAGGTATAGCTCGTACTTCGCTACAGTGCTAATCCAAATATACCGTTTCCCTTTCGGTTGCATTCTCAGGACAGACAATACTACTTGAAGAACACCGTATGAGAAATTGCCCTCCTGATTGAGTATGCAGGTTTTGCTCTAATGATAGATTTCAAGTCTGTGTGTTACGGTGGGCCAAGGTACGAAACTCCTTATACTATACTTACAATATAGCGCTGATGTAGATTTAAGACAGGTATTACGCAAGGATAGAAAGTATTGTGTTCAAAAGAGCGTAGCTCAAAAAGCGACTGGGAATATATACAGTAACGAGAGGGACTGTGATATTAGGAGAGAATGAACTGCCATATTGCTTGGTCGATGTGCATACCTAGAGGGTGTGGATAAGCTGTGCTTCATTTGGAACCATCTAGCTTGGAGGTTGGAGATGAGATGACGCGGAAGAAACCCGCCCGTTCAGCATTGTCGGATGCCTGTTGAGCCATCCATATCATCCCTAAAAGGCCTCCAGCATTCTCAATTCGGGTAGCCGATCCCTCTACGCTTCCAATATCCTCTCAAATCGTACCGACCTGACCATTCCTTTCTAAGGGGCCCGTCCCGTCCGTCACATCTTTCACCCTCTCAGATGGCCTTCCCATCTCAATCTATTCCCTTCCGCCACCCTGCCCATCATTTCCCTGACCTCATGCTCTTTCGAAAGCCTGGTCAGCACAGCAGCCTAGCCAGCATGCTCAAGATGAGTGGCTCTGACGTTATGCTGCGGCGGCGGCGGATAGCTGCATAGTTTGACAGCGCCAATATGGGGTTCAGGGCTTGGTCCAACTCTTGGGTGCTGCCACCAAGGAGAGATGGGCTAGCCGGAGGCGGGCGAAGTGGAAGCGCCCTGAATGAGAAGCCGAAAAACATAATCTGCCTCTGCAAGAACAGGTCACGAAACGACCACCACCTTCACAGCTACTCTGCCTTCATCCTCTCCATCTCTTGTCTGATTCGCAACAATTCTGAATGCCCTTTGGCCTTCCGCTAGCGGTACTCGGTGGGTTACCAGTGCCTCTGCTACGCCATCCAGCTTGCCTGCTGCGAAAAGTGAAATCGCAGCGGGTTAGCAGTTGGCATACCTGAAGACGCCGATGATGTCCACTTCTCGCAGCGCAGCGGCCGCGAGTGGTAAGGCCTGAGTGGGTGTGCCCATCCCGACCCCAGACTAATTTCCCACGGGTGGCTGCGGCGAAGATGCCCATCTGGACACATGTTTGCATTCCTGTGCACTCGAAGACGCGAGAGAAGCCATTCGGTAACCCAAAGGCTGTTTTCAGTTCTTCGGCTAATGACTGTGCATGGTCTAAATGCTTCTATTATATTCTCCGCTGGTGACTCTCGTGGCAGAAGATTTGTCTGCAGTTTGTACCTTCCACCACCTAATCTCGCCGCTATTGCTAGCCGTTTGATGTCAATATCTGCGATCACTATCTCAGCTACACCCATCACAGAAAGAGCGGTTGCGGTGAGCATGCCAATTGTACCGGCTCCCAAGACGAATGCGCTTGACCCGGGCAATGGACCACCAGTCCCACTACGACCACTGATTGACCTTTTGATGGCATGGAGTGATACTGCAAGTGGTTCTACAAGAGCGCCCATTCCGAATGTGACGGACTCGGGCAGGCGGTGGCACATTGCTGCAGGATAAGTGATGTTGGTTTGCAGGGTACCATCGGTGTGAGGAAAAGTCTTTGCGGAGGATTTAAAAGATAAGTGAGAACATAGATTATAGCGACCGGTTGCACAAAGATGACAGACACGGCACGATAAGCCTACTTCAAGGGCTACCCTATCTCCAACACCTACTGACATTTTTGACATTGGCTTTGCTGGCTCAAATGTATAGCCATTTGTTGCAACATTTGAGATCGCTGTGACGGCGCCAGATGATCCATGGCCGAGTACCAGTGGTGCTCGAAGCTGAAAGTTGCCGTTCCGCCCATGAACATAATAGTGCAGGTCAGACCCGCACACGCCAGTTGCCCGAATAGAGACTTGGACTTCTTGAGCATCTAACGTTGGTAGCTTCCTCGTTTCCTAGCAAGTATGTCAGTCAAAATCTCGTTTACGGACATCCACATTCCAAGACCTAACGAATATGTCTTCATCACGTTTGGAAACGAAGGAAATGGAACAAAAACGTCAATGTTATATGGGACTTGGCAACAGACCAGTCGAAGGTCTTTTGGCCCGTGGAGCACCAAAGCCTTTGATACCGTAGATGGGTCGGCCATCATACAACATGCTGACGATAACCTGGCTAGAGTACAAAAAGGCAAAAAACGAGGCCAGTCCGGGTTCCTATACTGCGACTTTGGTGAAGAATTGTGTTACAAATGATATCGAAGCAAGAAAGGTACTCTAGTAGGAGATTCCGCAAAACATATAGAAAGTCTGCAGCACCACATGTCGCTTAGTAAATTATCAGGCATAAAAGGTCCGGCATTGTTCTCAAGGCTAACCAGATTCATCAATACTGAATTAAGCAGAAAGGAAAATGCCGGCGGCATACATGCGATATCATGTACCTGACTAGTCTAAAAATGGAGGGACATTGTGCGTGCGGGGTTTCTGACGGCTTTTGGATCATATGCCGATACAAGAAGTCCTCGTGCGGGGTGGAATGCCGGGTCCTGGATATAATTCGATGTGAAGTACGGAGTAGATGGTTGTTAGTGAAGTGGCATATCATATGTTGCAGAAATCACACGGCTGGCAATGTAATCTCCCTGATAACAAACAGTTTGCAGGACTTTCGGCTTTCTCGAGAAGCTGATCAATCTCATTCAGCGTCGATCAATCAAGCATGTCGAAAAACACAGTCCTTCTGATTGGTGGGTTGACTCATGCTGAGAAAGAGTGGAAAGCCTGGTCCTCGAAGTACATTCTCAAGGTAGAAAGAACAACATCTATACTGTGTCAATAGCTTATAGAGCGCCCAGGAATTTGTTGACGGTTCAAGAGATGACTTTTTGAAGAGGCTTCGAGACGGCGAGTATGATGATGTGGTCGGGCTTTACAGGTCGAATACTTCTGTGGCTGTAAGACCATGGCAGAAGAAGGTCAAGCAAAGACGATGGCTGATACGTCTTGCGCAGATTACCGGACCTTTCGATAGTGAAGTGGTATCGCTACTGCCAGCGTCATTGAAGTACATCTGTCACAACGGAGCAGGCTATGATAACATTGACGTTGACGCTTGTACTCGAAGAGGTGGGACAAAAAGGCCAAGTCCTGCAACATCAGCATGCTTATATATTTAGGGATCGCAATATCAAGCACACCGATTGCCGTGGACGACGCCACGGCAGACGTGGCCATCTTCTTGATGCTCGGCGCATTGCGACAGATCACAATACCCCTGACGGCCATTCGAGACGGTAAGTGGAGAGGAGAATCGCCACTTGGTCATGATCCAAAAGGAAAGACGCTTGGTATCCTGGGGATGGGTGGGATTGGCAGGGTGAGCATGTAGCAGCATCTGAGGTGCCTCTCTCTAACGAACAACAGGCAATGGCGAAGCGAGCTCGTGCCTTTGGTATGAGTATCGCATACCACAACCGTTCACGTTTGCCCCCTGATCTGGAGAACGACGCTACCTACCTTTCGTTTGAAGACCTTCTCGTACAATCTGACGTGCTAAGCCTCAATTTGTCCTTGAATGCAAAGACACGCCACATAATCTCAGCCTCGGAAATCAAGAAAATGAAAGACGGCGTTGTGATTGTCAATACTGCAAGAGGAGCTTTGATAAACGAAAAAGACCTTGTTGATGCGATCGAGTCCGGAAAAGTCGCGTCAGCTGGATTAGATGTTTTCGAAAATGAGCCAGCGGTGGAGGACGGGTTGCTGAAGAACCCGAAGGTTGTCCTGCTGCCTCACATCGGCACCAACACCTACGAGACGCAGCGAGATATGGAGCTTTTAGTGCTGATGAATTTGGAGAGTGGGGTAGATAAAGGAAAGCTTCTCACGCCGATACCCGAACAGAAAGGAAAGATGGGTGGTAGAAAGGGGCACTTGTAGAAGTACCAGTAGTTGAGCTTAAGGAAGATGCCTGGTGCTATTGTACATACGTGAATAGCTACAGAGTAGATTCGGGATTATAGTCATAGATGGCTGGAGTGGCAGATCAATCGAGGCGATTCAAAGCCCCCACACAGGGGAGGCCCGCCTGAGCTTCAAAGATCAATCCCGCCCAGCCTCGTCTCAAGCCAAGATCGAAACTCAATATGAGTTTAGGGCAAGGGCAAAAGTTGCCTCTTCTGAGCTAGCGGATTGTACTCCGAAAATGCACATCCTAGCCCACCAAACTTGACTGCGGTCTATGTTGACACGAATTCCGAAGACCGTGACAACTTTCTCATAGATCCTTCGAAATGGTAAGTCTAGCATGATACTAACAGCTTTCTCTATTGCCGTGCCCCAAGTGCTCCTCCGCTCTGACACTTGCTAACCACCTTTGTGCCCTAAGGTCCGCTACGCTGCTCAGCAGATCGAGAACGGTAAATCGGCTCGAAGTCGAGGCTCTTACCTGCGCGTCAGTTTCAAAAACACCCGGGAGACCGCGCAAGCAATCAATGGCTGGAAGTTGGAACGTGCTGTGAAATACCTCGAAAATGTTCAGGAGTTGAGGGAAGCCGTGCCAATGAGACGATATGCTGGTGGAACCGGGCGAAGTGCACAGGGTGAGTCCGTGGAGTTTATATACAGCACACTACTTGGTTCACAGACATGGATACTATGCAGAGTCTGAGCACTTGTATGGGGCTGTTGATGGGAATACAGCTCTCCGTAGCAGTTTATATCTGAATCTCAAGGCTGACAGGCTTCTGCTTACAGGAAAACAATTCGGTGTCTCTCGCGCACGTCATCCAGTCAAATCTGCCGAATTCCTTCTGTCGCTCCTCAAGAACGCTGAAGCAAATGCCGACACCAAGGGCCTCGATACTAGCAATCTGATCGTCAAGCACATTCAAGTCAACCAAGCCCCAAAGCAACGACGACGAACTTACAGAGCTCATGGTAGAATCAACCCCTACATGAGCAACCCATGCCACATTGAAATGATCTTGACCGAGGGAGAGGAAACCGTGAAGAAAGGTGCTGAGGATGCGCTCACAAAGAAGGAAGGACGATTAAATGCAAGACAAAAAGGGCAGAGAGTTCGAAGAGCCATCACTAGTTCATAAGCGCTGCTTTAGCTGTTGAAGATGTTTCAGATACCTTGATGGATGGAGGTTATCCAGTATGCGGGCCAATGACAAGCGCAGCATAACAGACTACCGAGTCCAATTCCACAATTGGGAGTTGCAGCGCTCTCGTGCTGGACAATGTTCATATCAATGAAAGAATCCTGCGCATTGCTTCATCCAAGTCCCTCTACCAGTGGTCGCAGATCTGATGATGCTACTTGTTTTCGTATCTATCATGTTCTGCAAAAACTTCTGCTATGTTCCCTGCTCGCTCTTCACACTCCGTCTTCGAAATATTATTTGCTTTCCAAGCACCTATCATGGTCAATACATTCCACCATTGATGACACTACCCCGACTCAACAACGGCCGAAGGGCCTCTCTAAGAAACTGACTACGCAATCTGCTGAGTGTTGAAGCAGGATCTGGATGGGCTTATAGTGGTATCCGGCAGCTACACCGCCTCACTCCTTCCTTTGTAGCGCCACAATATCAGCATGAGCCTTTTACAACAGGCTCAAGCGAGCAGAGACCATTGTCACGAAAGAGCACAGTTTATGTGGCAAATTCTTGGTCTAATAGGAACACAAGGCATAGCACAGTCAACAGAGGGATCAGATCTTTTGGCAGCGTGGAACTGATTACACTAAAACGACGCGCGAGGCTTTTGAGGATCAGTGAACTATTAGCGATCGAGAAGTTGCCTACTGGTGGTTAGAGACGCTCGTCTTCGACACCTGAGATAGATGCTGAAGATTTTAATGACTGAAGGGGTACGGTAAACTCTGATGAAGACAAAGATGGTGCGACTGCGCAGGCCGCTCAGCAAATGGATGAAAGTAGATAGAGCAAGTTGGAGAGGATGCTTCGTCATTATACGCCTCTGGACCAAAGCTCCTTCATGTTGTCCACATAGAAGTGACCATGAAGCAAGCTACAGCACATCGCCATTTGTAGAAGTTGATGGATGATGGATGAGATCACTACTACTAAGTCCCCCACCCGGCTAATGAGACACCCCTGGTAATGAGACACCCCACTCAATTCGCATACCCACCACATTATAGCTATCCTTGCTATTCTACTGCTTCAAATTGACTAAATACAGTGGTCATCTGATCAATTGTCATATTGATCACCTTATTAGCCGTTTTACGGGCCTCCGCAGCCAAATCCCGGGCCTCTGTCAGCTTCTGACGCCTGGCCTGCTCCTCCTGCGCTGCCATAATGCTCTCAATGTTGGCAAACATCTCATTGCTATCTGTAACAGCTACTTTTTGCTTCTTTGTATTGATCTCATCTAATTTAGTGGCCTGTGCGTTTATTAGGTCCAGATTGCGTACATTAGCCACATGAAATTGATCAAAAGCCTTAGCTGTTTTTTCAAACAAAATGCGCACTTTCTGAGAGCATTTCTGCGTCTGTAATAGTCTATTTTGACTTAAAACAAGCTGGCGTCGATTCTCCGGGGTCTTGAGTACCTCTAGAGTATCATCAATAGCGCTATGTGGACGCTTTTTGGGTGTCTTTAGCGTACAAGAATCCTGTGAGATTTGACTGGATTTTAGTACCTTTTGTGGATTCCAAGGTATCAAACCAGTTCCTCGCCAGCCTGCTCTGATATAGATCTCTTTTAGAGCATCCTGCCTTGCTTGGTTGTAGTATTTGACGAAGCGGATTTTCTTGATTGGTGCAGCATTCTCATATTTAGCCAACTTCTCAATCTGCGCTCTATATGACGATTTGAGACGCGAAAATACAGCCAAATCAAGAGGCTGTAGAACATGGCTTGAATGCGCAGGCATATAGAGCAATCGAATGTTGTTTTGGAAACAAATCCACATGAAATCAGTTGGTATATGGCTACCCTGGTTATCCATTAGCAGAATTCTGTTGGCGCCAGTAATCTTGGGCTGCGTATAAGGGATGAAAATCTGTTGTAACCATCTCTTGCTTATATCATTAGAGGTCCAGCCTCTTTCTGATGTAGTATAATGCCAATCAGGAACAGAATAAGCCTCAAACCACGAACTCTGTATGTTTTTGCCCTTGAAAATCACAAGGCATGGAATTGATCTTCCTGCAGCAGATATTGTCTCAACAGTAGATACCCATTCGCGGTTTTCAGGGCTCTTTTTGTATGTACGAGAGGTAGCAGAACGACCTAGTACTTGTTGATGGGCAGAGCTGCCCAGGGCCAGTCCAGTTTCATCCATATTCCAGATATCTTCATCTGCAACCTTGTATTCTTTGCGTACGCGTCGGAATAGCTCAAAAAAGGTCCTTAAGCTATCTGCTTTCGTGTTTTCGATTCGTAGGACCTCTATCTTCCTACCCAGTTTGGACCGAATAGCTGGTTGACGCGTCAAAAAGCGCTGTAGCCAATGATGCCCTATGCGTCCAGAGGCGCCAGATTCTTGCGAAATACGAGAGGCCATTGCTCGTACGGTATTGTGGGTAGGGGCATGCCCTTCCATTTCTAAATGGAGTATCCATTGTACCAACTCTTGCTCCTGTTCAGGACTCAATAGCTGCTGTGAATTGCGAGCTATTTGCTTCCCAATGCCCCCATTTTGGCGGCGGCGGAGGGTTTCTGCAGATAGGCTAAATTTCTTGGCTACTGCGCGTAATGACGCGTTTGGATCAGTAGATAGCTCAGTTAGGGCCTCAGCAATGCGAGTTTCGAATGGGGAGTCCATATCTGACCAGTTGGTGGAGATAATGCGCGTTGAATGTGGTGGGTATGCCGATTGAGTGGGGTGTCTCATTACCAGGGGTGTCTCATTAGCCGGGTGGGGGACTTAGTAGTTAAGGCCAGGTTTAAGCATTTGATGCCAAGAGATAAGACAAAGGAAGATGTACAACTACTATGGCGTCATCTTGAGCTTCCCCATTGTTGCTAGCATCTCACGATTCAACAAAAGACACAAGACCGGATTGATCTCCGCAGCGTGGGAATCTGGAAATTCTGGGAATCTGCTCTGGATCCGCTCAACATCCACCCATCGGACTGAGGATTGTCTTTTACTTGTGTGCAAGCCAGGTCCTTCGTTACCCGGATCTAGCAGAGATGTTCACGATAACTGGGTCGCCATAGCAAGCAAACACACCTTCGCCGCTGCCCCAATCATGGCCACACAACCAAATCCCGAGCATACATTAACCATGCATCCTTCACCTTTCCACAAGTATTCCGCGCGCGAGAGCACACATACCCCGATCCCTCGCTCTCACCTGCGTCATGGCTCTGCGACATCTTCTGCTGTAGAGGGAGAAGAGGGGCTGTCACGTCAAAGAACCATGGCGAGCGCCGATACCGAACGACAGCCGTCTCCACCCTATACTCACGAGAACGATCCTTTCCGCTTATCTTTAAGGATCAAGACACCGTCCGAGATCCAATTGATCTCGGCCAATACGAGCCGCAAGCGAGATATCTTCAACCCACTTATCTTTACTGGTCAGCAAGCTCCCAACAAGCTCCAGGGCTTCTATGAGGCTCAAAACGAGAACATCGAAAGGCTCCTGACACCCGTCGACGAGCACGTCCGTCAGGCACGAGAAGTCAACACTGCCAACCATCTCCGGTACCAGATTGCTGTCTATGGGTCCTTCGCCGCCAATGTTGTGCTCGCCATCCTTCAGGTCTACGGCGCCGTGGCTTCCGGCTCGCTGTCTCTCTTCACCACCATGGCCGACGCCATCTTCGACCCGGCGTCCAACCTGACCCTCCTGCTCTGCAACCAGGCGGTGTCGAAAGTCGACGCGCGCAAGTTCCCCGCCGGCAAGGCGCGCATCGAAACCGCCGGCAACATCGTCTTCTGCTTCCTCATGACCGCCGTCTCCTTCATCCTCATCGCCTTCTCCCTGCGCGATCTGGTCGGCGGCAAGCCCGCCCAGACCAACAGCTTCCACCTCCCCTCCATCATCGCCGTGTCCATCGCCTTCGTCACCAAACTGACCCTGTTCCTCTACTGCTGGGCGCTCCGCAACCAATACTCGCAGATCCGCATCCTCTGGGAAGACCACCGCAACGACCTCCTGATCAACGGCCTCGGCATCCTCACCAGCGTCGGCGGCTCCCAGCTCCGCTGGTGGATCGACCCCATGGGCGCCATCATTCTCTCGTTGCTCATCACCATCCTCTGGCTCCGCACCGCGTACAAGGAGTTCCAGCTCCTCATCGGCGTCACCGCCGACACCGAGACCCAGCAGCTCATCACCTACATCAGCATGACGCACTCGCCGCACGTCATCGCCATCGACACGGTGCGCGCGTGGCACAGCGGGCCCCGACTCGTGGTCGAGGTCGATGTGGTGATGGATCCCGACGAGACGCTGCGCGCGACGCACGACATCGCCGAGGAGCTGCAGATGAAGCTCGAGTCGCTGCCGGACGTCGAGAGGGCCTACGTGCATGTCGATTACGAGACGACGCATAAGCCGGAGCATTTTTTGAAGAAGGAATTATAGAGACTCGCTATGTATATCTATGTGTGTATGACAGAGAGAGAGAGAGTGTGTGTGTGTGTGTGTTTGGCCTTAGCATAGCCTACCAGAAGGCATCGGTTCGAGTTTGGGTTTGGGTTTAGCATAGTTAGAGTTTTAGAGTTTGGAGGTTGGGTTGGAGCGAAAGCATCTGTATCCATAGAGGATAAAAGGCACGTTCATTGCATTGTTTCCGGCCCCGTTTCTGTTATACACACATACACACACCTACACACACCTCCCGGGATCCAAGCCGAGATACCATTTCCAAATCACCACCACAAACTCCTAAATCCAAATTTACCAAACCCCCTCACCTCACCTCAACCCACCTCAACCCACAACCCTCCGGCCAGCCGGTCAAATACCCCATCCCATCCCGTCCCGTACGACAAAGCACAGTCACCACACCGGCAGACTGCCACCTCGACGGGGCTGGCCTCAACCTCCCCACCGTCTCCTCATCCGGAATCATCATTTCATGCCTGTCCGTCCGCCCGATCATGCGCGGGCCCGCGCCATCATTGACCGAGCCACCCTGCCCTGCCCTGCCCTGCCCTGCCCTGC